ATAGTAACACAATTTACTACGGAATCATAACCAGGGCAAAGACAAGCGATTGGTAACAGTCAAAGTTAATGTATCTGAGACAACTGGTGGATAAGGATTGTATTAATTGTTTAAAAACAGGCCATAAGAGATCTGGAGCTAAGGGCTGTGACGCTGGGGAAGGAGGAGGCCATTTGAACCCTATCAAAGGGTCCCTGGGAGCAGATTCCTCCCTCTGTTTGCTGCATCTGGGAAGGACGGAACTCTCACCAGGGAAGCTGCAGCTGCGTGCACCCTTGGCTTAATCGCTGTGTAAGGCGGAGGGTTAATTAGCTGCCATTCTTAGCTCCACTTGTTGTTTTAATAAAGATCTGCATAAATCTGAGGCTGGGAGTAACCATCCTTGATTTCATTTGGCAGACGATGGGGGGGGAGGGGAGGAGTGTGACGCTTGTGGGTGTGCTCAGAGCATGTTCAAGTGACCTGGCCTGGGGCGTTCTGCCTGCTTGAAAAGTGGTGGACGAAGACCTCTCGGCTGTTTATGGACGCGGGACCCTGCTGGCCAGGCTCACCGCAGGCAGCCTGGAGTGTGAAGCAGATTATCAGGGAATGAAATACACAGAGTGCATTTGCAAAGCACTCAGTATGGATCTCTAAAAGTAGAGGACAGATAAAAAATTCAGCATCACAATGCTGTTTTATTATGCCTAAAAATTTCTGGCAATCATTCCTCAATATCCAATACTTGGTTTTCCAATTTCCGATGATCTCCTAAGTGGTATATGTTTTGTGGGGGGGGGAATTTTTGCATGATACAGTGTCAGAATCACATTTAGAATCAAACCAGTTCACAAGAGCATGAGAATCTCATGATGTCTCCTAAGGTAGGCACTATCATTATGCCTATTTTACAGACCAGAAGGCTGAGGCAGAGAGGAGATAGTAGCCTGATGGTCACAGTCAGAATGAACGGGAAAAAAAAAAAAAGGCCTGAATGGTTCTATTAAGAACACCACAGAAACAGAGGCTTAGGTACAAATGAACTGAGAGTGTGGAACAAAAAAGTTTATAACTACCAAGTTGTCTTTTCAGAATTTCCCCATATTATGAAATGCCAACATCTTCCATTTCAGCACTTAGGGAACCACCACCACAACAAAAGAATCAAACAAGTTCATAACACTTTAGAAAGCAACAGTAGCAGAGCAGAAAGAACTGAGATTAATGATGCCAGATGTTACGTAGATTTACGAAAAAAAATTAGTAATATTTCTGGACATTACTCTGTGAGTAAAGCATTTGGGACAGGAAAACTGTTGACCTTATTTTATCTCATAACTGTCAGTGTTCTCGGGATAGTTCATTTTGTATGAGGGAAAATACCCATTATTAATAGGCCTGAAGACCGTTATATAGGCAGATTTTAAACAATAAATCAACAGATTTCATATAAAGGATATGCTAAAACAGCTAAGAGTTTGAAAAGGCAACCACAAAACAGCAAAAACAAACTTTGAAAGATGACATTAAATAGAACAGAGCTTAAGTTTTATACACGCTTGAGAAGAGAGTGTTTACAAACAGGAGCTCTGCCATGAAAGTTGGAAATGTGTTTACTACTGTAAACTTCAGCAATTCATGGATTAAATCATGTTCACCAAGCAGGACCGCAGTCAGAGGATCTGGGAGGCTGGTGCTGACCTTCTGAGCCCGTCAACCTCCTCTCCTCTGGCTGTCCCTTTGCCCCCAGCAGTGTGTCACGGCCATACTCTGGCAGCCAGCTATGCCTGACTAGGCAGAGTGTCACGGCAGGCCCAATAAACACCCCTGTGAAGTGCGAACAGGGAGACCTGCCTAGAACAGACCTGCTGGGAACAGAACAGTTACCCCTGGTGCACCCGTCAACTGGCTGGTAACGGTTGGACATCTGCCACCTGACAGATAATCCTTCCCAAGAGGTAATATAGTCTCGGCACTACTAATTCAGGACTAGGCTTTTTTCCAGATTAAAAAATCCAAGAGGGCCCATGCTGAGGAGGTGGTGTTTGTTAGAGATTATTTAATACTATCTTCTCTCAGTTAAATGCAGCTGAGTGGGTACTTATCACATCAAATGGATGCCCATTTGGAGTCCTAAATATTCTGAGAGATAACATCAAGAACAATCCATTATGCTTACAGAGGGCTTTCACATACACCATCTCATTTCAAACTCACAGGAATCCTGTGATTTAGCTACAGCTGAGGATAATGTCCGTTTGATATAACGAACGGAGGGTGAGGAAAGTTAAACGGCTGGTACAAGGTCACACAAGTAATAGTGGAGCTGGTTTTTAAATCTACATCTGCTGACTATCAATACCATGCAAGAAAGGGTGTGTAGCCCCACACTGAAACACAAAACATCTGTTTCTGAATGGACCAAAAATTCTTGAAAGAGACAAATGTAAATTATGAGAAAAATATGAAAAAAGATGAAAAAAAAAACCCAGTTCATGTAGGAACAACAGTGGGAGCCCTTATAAAGTTGGTTAAATCTGTGTCTTCATGCAAAGCCTACTTCTGAGCTGACAGCATTTCTGGTGTTTAAATAGGTCTGCAGATTCAGTGTAAGAAAATCTTTATTCATAGTCTATCAAACTTACATTTGTGACTGTCTGAAAATAGGTTAGACTGAAGTTTAACATAAATCTAGGGAGAAAAATCAACAGAGACTAGAAGGAAGTATACCAGAAAACAGTGTGAAATAAATCCACTGAACAAAACAATGGGCTTTTTTGACTTGTTTTTGATAACTTTGTTTAAAACCCCAGAAGTGTGAATGTACCTGTAAATGATGTGCCGATTAGAAACCTTTTTTATGTGTGTTAAAGTATGAACACTTAGTCTGTTACCATGTATTTTACAGAGAGTATTCTATTCTTATACCAGATAGGCTATCTCTAGTTGGTGACACTTAAGGAACATTACTAGCTTTAGGTTTTTTCTTACTATTCATAGCATAATTTTCAAAATCTATTTATCCTATTTATGTGAGTTTGCTTTAGCCAGGAGTGATTTTTTATTTTTTTTTGCAGAATGTGTCTCTAATTTTCTGAGACACAGAAAAAACTCTAACTTACGGAACAGAAACCTTTCTTGACTGCTGAGAGAAGGCTCTGGTGGAGCGCAGGGTCACCTCCATAGAGAAGAGAATGAGGTGATGGGTCCATTTCAGCTCACGTGGTTCCCTCTGGGGTAAGGACTGCCTCTCAGCACCAAGTTTTCTCTAAGTGTGAAGTGACACCTTATTCCATGTATAAGAAGTGAAGACTTCTTATTCATCTTGTGTGAGGCTCAGAAGTGCCTCATAAATAGTAGAGTCTCAGAAGTTTTTTTTGCTTTCTTTCTTTTCCCCCCAGTTTTATGGAGCTATAACCGACATATAACACGGTGAGTTTAAGGTGTACGGCATGATAACTTGACACCAAAAGTTTCCTGAATAAGTGACTTACCTCTCAAAATATATTTTTTCTCTAAAAAACAGAAAAACCCCTCGTCTCCAAATTTCAGCAAACCCCAGAAGAAGTATTTTTTGGAGAGTGGGGAGGCAGATGTAGCCCCATGTTGCAACATTTCCGAAAGGAAATATCACACACACAAAAAGCCTTTTTAAGACAAGACCTCCAAATGAGGTTATACAGTCACAGAGATAAATAGGATTGAAATAGGAATAGTGAGACTGAAAAAACAAAGTATTTGTCGTTTAGTTTTAAATTAGTACATCATGATTGAACTTCACTATCTGGCATGAAGTATGAATTAATTTAAAAAATATTTTATAATGATCTTGCACAACTATATTTTCTTTTTGGTGTTAAAACCATTAATTTGTTATATATAGTCTACATATATCACAATTTAATTAGATTGTTTTTAAATGCCTTCACTAAAAAAATTTTTATTACTGAAAAACAACAAACATACAAAAATGGAAAAGATGATAATTTCTTCATGTTTTATTAACCAGCCAGGGACCTAAGAGAGACCTCGATTCCCATTTGCCATTTCTCTCGTCTAAAACTTCACTTATCTAGTGAGTTCATTCCTGAACATGGTAGATGGAATCTCAAAAAACATTAAGACTATTAATTAACTACTCAATGAAGAATTTCTCATTGAGAACATCAATGAAAACCCCAATGAAAAACCTTTGCATTTTTGTATTTTCCAAAATACACCCAAATATGTAAAACAATTGGCAGTTGGTTAGTCTTTTAGTTAAAAGAAGCTGGTCAAAGACATGTAATCGTGCATCTAGGAAGACAGGAAGTAAGAATTTTCAGCATTAAGCATACCAGCAAGCCTCAAGGGCTTGGCCATAGGCTCTTTTCAGGTTTCCTGGGAAGCTGTATCTCCTCGTTGACTTTTTGGGTATTTCCTAGTTCAGGAGTTTTTTGGCCCTAATAGCTTGTAAGGATGCACGATTATTGAGATGCGAAAATGGTGACGTCTGTGTGGTGCTGCCTGGTGGCTGTCAGATTTTAATAGCCCACGTTTCCCAAATGAACATCTTCTGGTAGGCACCTAATTAAACATCTAGCTATTCAATTTGAATTTTTATTATTAGCTCAGGCCCAGCGGCCATGGCTCACGGGCGCAGCCGCTCCGCGGCATGTGGGATCTTCCCAGACCGGGGCACGAACCTGTGTCCCCTGCATCGGCAGGTGGACTCTCAACCACTGTGCCACCAGGGAAGCCCCTGTAACGCATTCTTTAAATGCACTTCCCCATCTAAAATGATTTTTCATTCATGCTTATCACACTATGCTTTTTCCTTCTTGGCAAATAATAAGTTTTCGAAAGACCAATGACCAGACTGAATTGAAAAAGAAAGCAGTTACAAACTATGAAAATTTAAGATCAATAAGAGTAAAAATAATAGTGCTAGTGGTAGTATTGGCGGTGGTAAACAAATGACTAAGGTCTGACATTCAAGCCTTGAGTAGCTCCAATTCTACACTGGATTACAAGTCTCTTACCGGGATTGCAGTCTGTAAGAAGAGAGCAGATGGACAGGAGAACTTTAGAAATGGTGAGGGCCGGACTCCAGTTGTCTTTCAGGATGTCCAGACAGATCACGCCTTGGCTGTTAATATTACAGTGATAAATTCTGGTTCGGAAGGTAACCTAGAAGAAAATGTAAAGTTGATATAAATAGACACACTATTTATTCATAAAATTTTATTATAGTTGATTTACAGTGTTGTGTTACTTTCAGGTGTACAGCTAAGTGAGTCAGTTATACATAAACATATATTCACTCTTTTTCAGAGTCTTCACCCATATAGGTTATTACAGAGTACTGAGTAGAGTTCCCTGTGCTCTACAGTAGGTCCTTGTTGGTTATCTATTTTAAATATAGTAGTGTGTGTATGTTAATCCCAAGCTTCTGATTTATCCCTCCCAGCCCACATTTCTCCTTTGGTAACCATAGGTTTGTTTTTGAAATCTGTGAGTCTGTTTCTGTTTTGTAAATAAGTTCATTTGTATCCATTTTAAAAATTAGATTCCACATATGAGTGATAGCACATGATACTTGTCTTTCTCTGTCTGACTTACTTCACTTAGTATGTTAATCTCTAGGTCCATCCATGTGCCTGCAAATGGCATTATTTCATTCTTTTTTGTGGCTGAGTAATATTCCATTGTATATGTATGTGTGTGTGTGTGTGTGTGTGTGTGTATACACACACACACACATATATATATACCACATCTTCTTTATCCATTCCTCTGTTGATGGGCATTTAGATTGCTCCCACGTTTGGGCTATTGCAAACAGTGCTGCAATGAACATTGGGGTGCATGTATCTTTTCAAATTATGGTTTTCTCCAGATATATGCCCAGGAATGGGATACTGAAAATATGAAAAGCCAAATTAACAAAATTAAGGTACTGAATGAAGATGAAATTCCATGCTCAACAACTAAAGGATACTTATTCTTTTCCAAGCACATAAGAAACAATTATAAAAACTGATCACATGCTAAGCCACAGAGAAAGCTTAACGTACTTCCAAAAATTATTAAGACTATTAAGGTCCCCCTTCATACGTTTGCAAACTGAAAAATACATTTTCAAATAATTCTTGGATCAAAGAAAAAAAATCAGCTATGTTTATAACTGAGTGACAGTGAAAATGTTGGGTTGCCAATACCAAAATCTGTGATTTGCCTAAAACAGTTAATGAAAGAGAAACCTACAGTTTCAAATGCATATATTAAAAAGGAAGAAGTTTCCTGAGTTGTGCCCAAAGGAAGAAAAAAGAATAGAGTAAATCCCATGAAAGTAGAGAGGAATGGGCAGAAGTTAATAAAATAGAGAATACCTGTGATATTAAAATTCTGCAGAGAAGTGAGAGTACCTAGCTATTTAAGTGCTAGATGAAAAGACAAAATACTTTTATGATCCAGTGTATGTGATGAGTGGCTTTTGTCTATAATACCATATTTTTAAAACCTATCTGAGTAGAGTTTCCTGTGCTATACAGTAGATCTTTGTTGGTTACCTATTTTATATAGTAATGTGTGTATGTTAATCTCAAACTCCTACTGTATAGCACAGGGAACTTTACTCAATACTCTGTAATAACCTATATGGGAAAAGAATGGATATATGTGTATATATGTATAACTGAATCACTTTGCTGTACACCTGAAACTAACACAACTACTGTAAATCAACTACACTCCAATAAAATGTAAAAAAAGAGAAAAACCTAGCTGAGACTACTCTGAGCCAGTTAATCATCAAAATGAGTAAAGGAGGGAAGTATTATTATTGTACTCACTTTAAAAGAAGCTGTAAGTATGTGAGGTTAGTAGATGCTAACTAAACTTACTGTGGTACTTATTTCAAAATATATACATATATCAAATGAGTGTGTTGTACACCTAAAATTAATACAATGTTATGTGTCAATTATATCTCAATAAAACAAAAAAAATTTTATTAAATAAAGAAACTGAGGAATCTCCATGCTGTTTTCCATTGTTGCTGCACCAATTTATACTCCTATGATATGATCCAGCAATTCCACTCCTGGGCATTTATCTGAAGAAGATGAAAACACTAATTTGCAAAGATATATGCACTCCTATGCTCATGGCAGTATTATTTACAATAGAAGATATGGAAGCAACATAAGTGTTCATCGATAAATGAATGAATAAAGATGTAGTGTACACACACACACACTGGAATATTACTCAGCCATAAAAACGAATGAAATCTTGCCATTTGCAACAATATGGATGGACCTAGAGGGTATAATGCTAAGTGAAATAAATCAGACAGGGAAAGATAAATACTGTATGATTTCACTTATATGTGGAATCTAAAAAACAAAACAAATGAACAAACTTAGCAGAAGCAGTCACAGATACAGAGAACAAACAGGTGGTTGCCAGAAGGGAGGCTGGTGGGGAGAGGAGAGAAATTGGTGAAGGAGATTAAAGGTACATGATAAACTTGCAATTACAAGATAAATGAGTCACAGGTATGAAATGTAGAGTGTGGGGAATATAGTCAATAATAATGTAATATCCTTTGTATGGTGACATATTGTAACTACACTGATTGTGGTGATCATTTTGAAATGTACAGAAATACTGAATCACTATATTGTGTATTAGGAACTAAGACAGTGTTGTAGGTCAACTATACTTCAAAAACAAATTCACAGAAAAAGGATCAGATTTGTGGGCAGAGGGGGAACTGGATGAAGGCAGTCAAAAGATACACACTTCCAGGGACTTCCCTGGTTGCACAGTGGTTAAGAATCCGCCTGCCAATGCAGGGGACACGGGTTCGAGCCCTGGTCCGGGAAGATCCCACATTGCCGCGGAGCAACTAAGCCCATGCTCCACAACTACTGAGCCTGCGCTCTAGAGCCCGCAAGCCACAACTACTGAGCCTACGTGCCACAACTACTGAGCCCGCGAGCCACAACTACTGAAGCCCATGCGCCTAGAGCCCATGCTCCGCAACAAGAGAAGCCACCGCAATGAGAAGCCCGCGCACCGCAACGAAGAGCAGACCCCACTCGCCACAACTAGAGAAAGCCAGCACGCAGCAACGAAGACTCAAGGCAGCCAAAAAAAATTAAAAAAAAAAAAAAAAAAGACACACACTCCCAGTAAGATACATAAGCACTAGGGACATAATGTACAACATGGTAAATATAATTAACACTGCTGTTCGTTATGTATGAAAGTGGTTCAGAGAGCAAATCCTAAGGGTTTATGAAAATAAAAATACATTTTTAAAATAAAATTATTTTCCCCTATTTCTTTAACTTTGGATCTATATGAGATAATGAATGTTCACTAAACTTATTGTGGTAAAAAAAAAAAATGAAGAAACTGAGGCACAGAGAGGTTAAGAACTGGCTCATGGTCCCACAGCTGGTAAGTGGTGGAGCCGGAATTTGAACACAACCTTGTTGATCCAAAAGTCCATGCTCTCCCGTTCAGCCTCAATGCCTGTTCTTTTATCTTTTTAAAAAACTTTAAATTCTGAGCTAAGTACAGATTCACATGCCGTTGTAGGAAAGAATACAGACAGATCGCCTACATCCTTCCCCCACTTTCCCCCAATATCACAGGAGAGTGATACCGACACAGTCCCCTGACCTTCCCGTACATCACCAGTTTTACATGCACTGATGGATATATGTGTTCCTATGCAGTTGTATCACGGGTAGATTTGTGTGCGCACCACCGCTGTCAAGACACAGAACAGTCCATCACAAACATCCTTTGTGAGACCCTTCACTAGCCACAGTCCTCCCCCCACTTCTGAATTCCCAACAAACACAACTCTGTTCCTGTCTCTATAATTCTGTCATTTCAAGAAGGCTATATAATTGAAATCATACAGGATGTAACTTTTTGAAACTGGATGTTTTTCACTCTGCACAATACTCTTGTGATCCAACTAAGTCGTTGCGTGTATCAAGACTTCGCTGTTTTATTGCTGAGTAGTAATCCACGATATGGATGCACCAGTTTGCTTAACCATTTACCCACTGAAGGACAATGGATTGCTTCCCGTTTTTAGTTATGACAAATCAAGCTGGTATGAACGTTTCTCTGTGTTTGTGTGAACGTAAGTTTTTATTTCTCTGGGACAAATGTCCAAGGGTGCAATTGTTGGGATGTACGGTGAGCTCATATGTAGCTTTATAAGACACTGCCAGACTTCTTTCTGGAGCAGATGTACCATTTTACATGCTCGCCAGCGGAGTGATCCAGTCTCTCTGCGTCCTCGCCGGCGTTTAGTGCTATCAACAAGCTTTATTTTAGCCATTCCGCTAGGGTTCAGTGGTACCTCATTGAGGCTTTAATTTGCATTTCCTTAGCTGCTAATGATGTTGAACACTTTTTCATGTGATTAATTGTTATCTGGATACTCTCTTCCATCAGAGAGGATGTGTATGTTTTCTGCCAATTTCTAATGACAGTAAGTCCCTTACATACAAACGGAATGTGTTGGGAGATCCAATAAAGTTAGCTTAGGTACCCCACTAACACAACTGGCTACACAGTACTGTACTGTAATAGGCTGTAATACTTTTCAAACAAATAATACATAAAACACACAAAATAAAGAAAACATTTTTAATCTTACAGTACAGTACCTTGCGAAGTACGTAGTGCAGTACAACAGCTGGCACACAAGGGCTGGCATCGAGGGAACAGCAGGAAGAGTTACTGACTGGAGGAGGGAGGGGAGGTGGGAGATGGTAGAGCTGAAGGATCTAGGGGATCCTAGGCAATAGGGGACGGAGGGCCAGCTGCAGTGTCACTCACGCCTGACGCTGATGGCGCAGGATCTGGTTCCTTGCTGGATTCAATTCTATCCATCCTCTTGAAAAATCGACCCAGTGATGTCTGGGTAGTAGCTCTTTTTTTCTCGTCATAGATGACACGGTAGCACTGGGTTGCATTCTGAGCGGCTGCTGCAGCCTTTGTGTACCGTTCTACGTTCAGGTCCTGTGCCTCAAAAACTAACAGCGCCGCCTCAGATAAAGAAAATCCCCTGCCATTTCCTGCGTCGTGAATCCCTTCGGTTCTTCAGTTACTTCTTTCTCTTCTTGTCTCTCTTCGTCCTTTCTCTGGGCCCC